AGCCTCTTGATGAAAGTGAAAGAGGAGAGTGAAAAAGTTGGCTTAAAGCTCAACATTCAGAAAACTAAGATCATGGCATCTGGTCCCATCACTTCATGGCAAATAGATGGGGAAACAGTGGACACAGTGGCTGACTTTATTTTTCCGGATTCCAAAATCACTGCAGATGGTGATTGCAGCCATGACATTAAAAGACACTTGCTCCTTGGAAGGAAAGTTATTACCAACCTAGACAGCATATTAAAAAGCAGAGACATTACTTTGGCAACAAACATCCATCTAGTCAAGGCTATGGTTTTTCCAGTCATCACGTTTGGATGTGAGAGTTGGACTAAAAAGAAGGTTGAGCGCCGAAGAATTGATGCTTTTGAACTGTGGTGTTGGAGAAGATTCTTGAGAGTCCCTTGGACTGCAAGGAGATCCAACCAATCCATCCTAAAGGAGATCAGTCCTGGGTGTTCATTGGAGGGACTGATGTTGAAGCTGAAACTCCAATACTTTGGCCACCTGATGAGAAGAGTTGACTCATTTGGAAAGACCCTGATGCTGGGAGAGATTGAGGGCAGGAGGAAAAGGGGATGACAAGAGGATGAGATGGTTGGATGGCATCACTGACTCAATGGACATGGGTTTGGGTAAACTCCGGGAGTTGGTGAGGGACAGGGAGGCCTGGCGTTGTAAAAAGTCGGACACGACTGAGCGACTGAACTGAACTGATATATATTATGGAAACAAAAACATAAATTTGCATGGAATGTTCCTAAGTTCAAAACAATGAAAAGATTTACTAAGCTATTCCTAATGCCTTCTCCTTGAGCCAACTTTGTGCTCAGTTTTTCTAAAAAAATCATCATTTCCTCAATGTCAATTGCCTTGCATTCTTATGAAACCTGCACTTAGCAAGGTATACACTCACTGACTTCTAATTGCCTACTCTTGCCAAAACGTTCCTACAAAGAACTCAAGTGAGTTTGTGGAGTCTGAGTAGGATGGGAGTAGACAGCACTTCTTCTAAGGTGGTTAAGTAAAAATATCATGTAAGGGGAAAGAAATGAAGTTCTCTCAGAAGGAAAAACTGCTGTGTCCCTAGAGTGCTAGTAGCACCAGTCAGCTTTCTCTAGAAGTCTCCCAACGAGCTCATCAACTGTGAAGTCAGTAATAGCACTTAATGTACCAATGGCAGCTTTGACACTAAGCATCACTCATGGTGTTATTATGCCTTGTCCCCCCTCAAAGACCTTCTGAACTGTTCAAGAAAAAAAAAAGAAAGAAAGAAAATATGTGCTACCCCAAATCACAAAGCCAACTTGCTAATATAAACCAGCCTGGGGCCCACAAGAGCCTCTATATTCATTTTTATCAAATTGAAAGCAGTGTCCACAGGTTTCAAAAGGCCCTGTCAAAACCAAAGACTCAAGTCTGAAATACACCAATAGGCAGATACTGATGAGACCATCTCAGTCTTACATGCTGGTTTCAGAAAGCAAAAATCCCTATAGTACAGGCTAATACTACTCCTGTTTCTATATTTTTCTCTCCCCAAATCACATAGACTTTTCTGAAAACAATAGACAGAAGAGCATGCTTACAATAATGTGTTAAGTGAAAAGAGAAAAATGCAGACTTGTATACCACTTCTCCAAGAACATATATGGTAGCAAGAAATGCACGTGGGTAGCTAAAGGTTGGAAGGTACATGGACAAACCAAAGACTGATTCGTTAGAATGGTGGGGCTGTGATGATGCTTCTTTCATTGAAACTTTATGAAAATACTTTAAGATATTTTGTCCACACCTATTTATGAGCCTTCTCCTTTCTCTCATCACATTTTTACACTTTGGATGTCCCCTCAGTGGTCAAATTAGAGAATGTCTATTCCTGCTTTGAGAAATGAATTACATAGTCCTAGAATATATCTACGATAATAAAAAATCTGGCAAATGACAAAAACAGAGCAGTCAATCTTGATGATGATAACAATCAGTAATGACAATAAAAACACTTTGGGGACTGAGTTTTCAAATTAGCCAACCCTATTAAGCAAATAGGTTTCCCTGACAGCTCAGTTGGTAAAGAATCCACCTGCATGCAGGAGACCCTGGTTCAATTCCTCGATCTGGAAGATCCGCTGGAGAAGGGATAGGCTGCCCACCCCAGTATTCTTAGGCTTCCCTTGTGGCTCAGCTGGTAAAGAATCCGCCTGCAATGTGGGAGACCTGGGTTCTATCCCTGGGTTGGGAAGATGCCCTGAAGAAGGGAAAGGCTACCCACTCCAGTATTCTGGCCTGGAGAAGTCCATGGACTGTATAGTCTATGCGGTTGCAAAGAGTCAAACACAACTGAGTGACTTTCACTTCACTTCACATTGAACAAATAATCAAGACTTCTGAAAAATTAAATTTAGGGTTAGAACATCTTGGTGTTCTCATAATAAAGATTCACATGGAAACCAAAACCAAAGTAGAATAATGAGCAGCTGAATATATAGTCCATTCGTCTTTGGTCTTTCCCTGCTCTCTTTAAGACCCAAGCTAAAAGGTATGTTTGTGTTTGTCAAACAAGACACATGGGGTTTAATTAGCCCATTCAAGGGAGAATGATATATAAATTTATCACTTCCAGGGTTCAAAGTCGATACTATGCCATCAAAAACAGCAGGCCACCATAAATATAACCATAAATGACTGACAGGTGAAGAGGCATGCACAGTTAACAATGTACAACAGAATGGTGTGATTTTCAGGCCTTGTGAGCATTCTGTATTATTGACTATGCCACCATGGCCTTTGTGAAGGGACAGTTCTTACCGTGTTAATGGTCCCAAGTCTCCTGAGTCTTGGCTTCTAGCTTTGCTGGGGGTGAGCACTGATTTCGAGGATACAGATGCAGGGATTTGGACTAAATAATGAAAATAACAGGAATCCCATGTTAAAAAATTCAGTGACTACACTGGGGGAAAGAGCAGTGTGAGACAAATTAGAACAGCCATGCCCAAATTAAAGCGCTTGTGTAGCCAGGAGAGATTGAGATAACAGAAAAAAAGAGGAAAGAAAAGGAAGTCAAGTGCATTTTTCATATTTTGGAAATTAAAATTTGAAATGAGTTTAGACAGAATTAATTTAGAGATTCCAAGGCCGTGTTCACCTTAACAAAGTAAAGTGGCGAATCAAAGCAGTTACCCAGATAATTCAAGGCAAATCTCTCTCTAGCATCAACTATCCAGATAATTCTAACTCTTCACTTTATTTTGTTAGTATAGATGTGACCTAGTAAAAAACAAGACGAGGTGTCTATAAAATTTTAAAAGATTATGAAATAAGTGATTATGAGCAATTTTAAATAGTCATGGAGAGTCAGCTAATCTGTTTTATGTCTGTATTTGGAGGGAAGTCTATCGTCCGTGGGTAAACTGCATGTGCTATGAGAGACTAAGTGACAGAGAAAAGGGTAAATATTGAACCCAGTTGTTTAAAAATCTCTTTCAAAACAAAGCAAAATGCCAGGCTGCTTTATTTTACACTTAGTAGTTTCATCACCTTATACTGTTTACTGTGCTTGGGAATTGTGTTCCTTCACATCTGGCAGCTCTAGCAAGCACTGTCGTGTGCACCTAGATGAACAGCCATTCTGCAGACAGGAGAAACAAGCTCACAGATCAAGGTCAGCACAGGCTGGAAATCTGACAGCAAGCATAAGAAAAGGAAAACACTAAAGAAAATGCAAATATATTTTTTTCTCTATCCTTCAAATACAAGTTAATGTCCTTCAGATAGACGCTGCACCCAACAGCTAAGGCGGCTCCAGGCCAGAGGAAAACGGGTTTTCAATATCACACATGCCAAAGAAAGAAACCTCAGTACACAGTGCAGATTCCCATTTGGTTTCAATCATGTGCAATTTCCTTTATTTCATAAGGTAAAGGGTTTAACTATTCTGTCCAAATCCTTTAACACAATGGCAGATCTGTCAAGACTTTTATGTGATTCTACAATTAATCCACTGATTACCCTCTGCAGTAAGTCAGAAGGTAGGTCAGAGAGATGGATAAAAATTGAAAATGGGGTCCACCCTGGCCAGGCCCTTTGGCAGAGATGCAGGGGTAGTTCAGAATTTGGTCATGGTTTAGGGATATTTCATCTGTTTTGTTCTTAAGGTTTAATTGCTGGCTTTATGCAGGTTAGGGGAGAAGATATTCTACTGTTGTGTTTAACCAGTGTTCACACTGCAGCAGAACTTCAAAGGCTATTTTGAGGCAAAAAGATAATTGAACAGTGTCTAATACATATCACTTGTCAACTAAGTAATAAAAAGGCTTGTCAGCTCCTCAAAGAAGCTCCATCACTCAAATATCCCACAGCTTACCTCTTTCATACCACAAAGAAGCTAACGAAACAATAGACATTTCATTGGTGTTTATGATACCATTGTTATACATATGATTTTACCGACTACAAACTGAGGTTTAAAATGCTTTTTCATGGTGTTTTAGTTCTGTGTGTATGTATTGAATGATATTCAGAAATAATTTATATGAATGTTATGTATAGCTTTTTATTTATATTGATATAAACACCATTTTATTGTAGATGAGATAATTTTTATTGTTAATTTAATTATGGAAATAAATGAAAATTTATTTTAATATAAAAGCCAATGATGGAATTAAAAGATGAACAATTTATAAAAGGAAATCTGATACTGTTTTTATTTGTATGTATTACTTTTAAAGTTTTTGTTTTACTACATTGGATATCATGTAGTTTTACAGACATACTAGGATTATTTTGAAATGTATGGAAAGCAAATGGATAAAGAAAAATAAAATAGCCTATCCATGAGTCATATACGGCTGACACAAGAAACATATTATGAACAAGTTACCTTCAACATAAATAAAACAAATAGCTCAATATCCAAACTCTGGATAAAATAAGGAAATAGATAATGAGTTGGAAGAAGGATGCTGTAGTAAAAATGCCAATGAAGCCAATATATACATCAGAGTCAAAGAAATTTATTTATTTATTTAGAGGTTTAGAAATTTTATTAGGTATCAAGGCTAGGGAATTTCTTCTACAATAATTTTTTTTCATTTATTTTTATTAGTTGGAGGCTAATTACTTTACAATATTGTAGTGGTTTTTGCCATACATTGACACGAATCAGCCATGGACAAAGAAATTTAAACATATTAACTGGCTGCTAATCTGTCAGCATTTTAAGTTTTCCTTCAAATTTCCCACTGAGCATTCTATTTTTCATCACTCTGTGCCTGTGGTGGTTATGAAATTCATAACCAGAGTCACAGGGTTTACATCAGCAGAGAGAGGTTGGGATTCAGCAATGGAAATGAAAAACAACATTTTTTTTTCTTCAAAATTTCTTGAATTTACCATGGGGTAATTCATTTATTTACATCATCTGATGTGAATAGCCAATTCATTGGAAAAGTCCCTGATGCTGGGAAAGATTGAGGGCAGAAGGAGAAGAGAGAATCAGAAAATGAGATGGCTGGATGGCATCACCAATGCAATGGACGTGAACTTGGGCAAACTCCAGGAGATGGTGAAGGGCAGGGAAGCCTGGTGTGCTGCAGTCCATGGGGTTGCAAAGAGTCGGACCAGACTGGGCAACTGAACAACAACATCAACACATTTAACAAGTATAAGATACTCTAATAGTAACACAATAGAGAAGGCTGACCAGGGCATCAGCCAATAAGCAGCAAATTGCCAGCAACTCTACAATCTGTCCTCCTATCTCCATCTGGCCCCTCAAATTCACAAGTAAATATACCTGAACCATAAGCCAAAGTATTTCTTAAAATATAAAAACAAAAAGAGATGTAAAAGAATAGTAAACACTGGACATGGTACAGTCACTCTTTGTGACCTCATGGACTGTACACTTCACGGAATTCTCCAGGCCAGAATACTGGAGTGGGTAGCCTTTCCCTTCTCCAGGGCATCTTCCCAACCTAGGGATCAAACCCAGGTCTCCAACACTGCAGGTGGATTCTTTACCAAGTGAACCACAAGGGAAGCCCAAGAATACTGGAGACGATAGCCCACCCCTTCTCCAGCAGATCTTCCCAACCCAGGAATCAAACCAGTGTCTCCTGCATTGCAGGCAGATTCTTTACTAGCTGGGCTATCAGGGAAGCCCATGGTACATCACACGCAAATCAAATCTGAGAAAACAGTAACACGAAGCATTCTGAAGTACCTAGAGGGGGCTCCAGACAGACTGCCATACTTTGAAGCAGGGCCTCTGTCTCTCAGCGTTTATAATCCAGGTCAGAGTCATCCTAAACTGGTTCTTTCTTCTGCTGTGTATCAGCCTACAAAAGTAGATGCCAGAGTGAAAAGTGCATAACAGAGCTAAATGTATGCTTCTCTTGGATGAAACTGAAAATGATAAATGCATGGCAGCAGAGACCAGGCAAAAGTCCTAAAGAGATATAATCATGGGTAAAAAGGATGAAAAACATAACTGCTCCATTTAGTAATTATTAATCCAGTACTTTTCTTTGGGTTGAAGGCTTTTTCCTGCCTCTACCACCGATATCAGAGTTTTCCTCACTGAGTTTCAGAAGAAACAGTCAAGATAAAAATTTTATAACTGGGATGTGGATTTTAAACAAAAATTCTGCCTGGTATTTTTTAGATCCCATGTCAGTTCTGGGAAGACATATTACTAGTTTGTGATGAGGGTGTGTTTATAATATTGATGGCTCACATTTGGGATTATACCAAATCCAAATTATTAAGGCATGTGAACAATACTTATGTAAGTAATGTTACTTAATTTTAATTTTCTTGGGCTTCCATTACACACATTAATTCAAATGAGAAAATTACGCATGTAGAAAAATATAAAACAACAAGTCATTTTGAAGAGAGACATTCTTTTCCACTAAGAACACACTGCCTTAAAAGCACATGTGTGTAAGCCTCTGACAGTAACATCCTATGCTGGGTCTGTCTTTTTATAGGATAGAAACAAGTCAAAATACAGGTTAAAGGTTACTAGTGGAATTCCAGGGTGGGGGAGGGGAGCGGAATTAAATACTCAGGTTTCTTTTCTTTTTCATAACAAATTATGACTTAAAGCATTTGCCCCACATCTGAAACATGTAACATCCTATTTGACATGCAGCCACCTCACAACAAGGCTTTGTGAGTTTCCAGGAGTGAGGGTGTCATGGTCAAAAGCCAATTATCCACTTACTAGACACACCTTCCTCCCCAGGGGCAAACTGGACTCCCTAACAGACACATTATCTCTTTCAGGAGTGCAAAGTACGTTGTAAAGCAGTAAAGCATAATTTCCATGGTGGCCTCTAAAGCAGAAAGAGTTGATGCAACTTCGACTCTCAGATGGTATACCTATACCCTGACCACAAGCAAAACACATCTTTGCACATAGTGTTGGGCTCTGTTACTATTCAGCACAGGCTTAGAATACGCTCAGGTATTTAAGTCTATCTGTCATCAGAGGAGAAACTCCCTTTATGGGGATCAATAAGGTAGAAGAAGCAGGCTCTCTCATGTAACCCATGAGAATTCTGAAATGGCAGTTTCATCTTGGAAGATATGAATGCTCACTTTCCCAATTGTAACATTTAAACTAACAAAGTTCCAAAGTTTATGCATACAACAGAGGCAAAGACAGAACTAAAATAAGAAGTAAGGATCTATATCAACATTCACCTATCATAAAGTTGAAAGGATTGAAGGAAAAGGGGGCAGGGAAATGACAGAAAAGGGAATCACCACTGTCACCTCTGAATACAAAAGGGGAAAAAAAAAAAAAAACCACAAGGAAGCCAATACGGAATAGCATGTGAAGAGTT